TAATATATGCTTTATTATTTGGTAGAATGACTGGATTTTATTCTGTTGCTGTTGGAATGTTATTTGTTATTTCAGGTTTTTTTGGATTATTTGCTTCTGGATGGAGGTCTTACGTTTCTTCACTATTTGTTTGTTTTTATTTCTTATTATCATTTTGTTCCATTTCTCATCAATTAGTTTGCCGTTTCTCTTGCTCTTTCATGTACAATTGCAGTTGCCGTCAATGGAGGTGGACTTATTCTTCCCCAATACTTTTTTTTGTTAGACTCAGACCAAGATGCTTTAAAAATTGGTGGATTAACACTAAATCCAAACAATTATTGGTTTGGAATTGGTTTATTTTATTTAACATTGGTATATATTCCATTATTAAGTTTCGCTGTTTGTAATGCTTGTACTATTGGTAAAGTGATTGAACGAGCTAAAAAAAGAAAACGTCGTGAAGAAGAAAAGAAGAAACGAAAAGATGGTTTCTTTATGTACAGGGGAAATACTCTGAAAAACAGAATTCGCCCAGAGGATTTTGGTAGAATAAGGGCTGAATTAAATAAGTCTGTTCATACTTCATTACCACCCTCTTCTCCAGTCAAAGAAGTCAAAATAGTTGTTGAGCCATAAATAGTCTTTATTTTTTTATTGTTTCATTCCAAAATAATATTAAATTTCATTTAAATAAAATTATTTAATCATTTTACTAATTTCAATCTCTTTTTCCTTTCTTTCCAAAAAATTTAGGTTTACTCTTTACTGGAATAGTAAATGACTTAAAGGCTTGGCTTTCTTCTGGTGTACATTCAGAAACAACAACCTCTTTACCATAGAATTTAAGTTGTTGTAAAGCCTCTTTTACTTTTTCTAAATCAGGACTAACTTTAACAGCAATAAAAGCGTTCTTAGTTCTATCATCGTTTTCTTTTTTATTTTTCTCTTTTTTTTGAATTGTTTTATTTTCTTCTTTTTCACCTTCAACCTTTGTAGTTTCTTCTTTTTTATCTTCGACTTTTGTAACCTCTTCTTTTTTATCTTCAACTTTTGTAGTATCTTCATTATGAGTAGTTTCATGTTTCTTTTCTTCAACAGAGGAAGGAGGTCTATCGACGAAATATTTTACAACATTTGATTTGAGTAAATCATTATTCTTTATAGCATTTTTTAAATCTCTATTACATACTTTAACAGAAACGATAATTTTATATTCAACTTTTTGAGATGTTTTTTTATTTTTTTGTTTTTGAGCAATTTTCTCAGCTCGTGGTCTAAATTCCAATGGATTTTCTTTAAAAGTAGGTTTAGAGTTGATAAATTTATCTTTTTCTGCTTCACTTACAAATTCAACAAAAGCATTTCCAAGATAAAATTGTCCTTCTTTATTTCTTCCATAATTCATTCTAATACATTCAACTTGTGCAAATTTATTAAGAGCATCTATAATTTCTTGTCTTGTAGCATCTTTACCAAAACCTTTAATAAAAAGTGATCGTTTATTAATTTCTTCTTCAGTTGGAAGAGGGGTTTTTCTTTTAACAGATTGTTTATCTTCTGAGAGTTCAAGAAAAGAAGATTTGGAAAGAGCGTTAATAATTTCTTCTTTATTTTCTGTTAATTCTTTAACTTTAACAAACCCCATTAAGGTATCAATAGTAACAAAACCATTACTAGTTTCAATAACTCCTTTCAAAAAAGTGTCTTGAATAAGATTTAAATCACAGAAGTAAAATTCTATTTGATTAAGGATAGCTGACATCTTATTTTCTTTATAAGTTTTTATTTAATCCTTTTTAAAACCTTTTTTACTATAAGAAAATGATAAATAGAATTCTAATAGTTTGAATTGGATATGGAATTTAAAAAACAGTAAGGGTTTCTTTAAATCTTCATTTTTGAATTTTTCATTTGTTTTTTTTTAAATTGGAATTTAAATTGTTCAATTAAAATTTCTATAAAGATTTATTTATTCTAATAGAAAATAAATTTTATTTTTTACAAATAATTGTTAAAATTTCTGTTTTCTTGACTCTTTTATTATAAAGTGCTATTATTATACTTCATCAATGAAATACTTTTATATTTTAAATTCAATATTATTTATTTGTATTTAAACATTTTTTTGATAATGTTTGTTTTATTGTTTTATATATTAAATCTAAAATTTATTAAAACTAATTGAATAAAAAAAGAAATTTTAATTTTATGTTTAGTTTAATATTTTAATTTCAAATAATTTAATAAACATTAAAACAATAGAAATTCTGATATTTAGGAAAGGTATTTTTGAAAATCTATTCTTGTAGAAGAGTAATTAAAAGTGGTGAATAGAAGTAGATATTATATTCTTTTTAAATTAACAATTAATTTGAATTTTCAATTTTTTAATAAAACTCTTTTTAATTTTGTTTTTAGTTCTTTTGAACTATTTTGAAAAATTAAATAATTATGTCTCTTATTCATTTAAATTCTCTTCAAGAATTTCAACAAATTATTTCAACAAATGATTGTATTATTGATTTTTATGCAGAGTGGTGTGGTCCATGTCGTTTTATAAGTCCATTATTTGAACAATATTCAAGACAATATCCAAATGTTAAATTTTGTAAAGTAAATGTTGACACAGCACATGAGATATCAATGTTATGTGGTATTCGTTGTATGCCGACATTTCAATTTTATTCTTCAGGAAAAAAAATGTCTGAATTTTCTGGAGCTGATAAGAACAAATTAAATGATATGGTAATGTGGGCTGCTTTTCAATAAATTATTTAAAATAATAATTGAAAACAAATTTATGACTTAATTTATTTTTTAACTGTTGATTCTCCATTAGACAAAGCAGGTGTCATAGGAGAACTTTCTTTTCCAGCACTAGAAGCATTTGACACTTGTTTAGCAACGTCATTTGTTTTAGGTTTATTTAGCTTCTTTTGATTAGATTTATTCATTTGTTTATTGTCTTGAATTTTTTGTTTATGAGTATTATTAACTGGTTTGTTTTGTTGAGTAGTATTAACTGGTTTAAAAGCTTTTTCTTGTTTCTTCTTATTTAAAATTGGTAATTGAACTTGGGCTTCAATCTTTTCTTTATATTTCTTTATAATTGGAATACCTACACCAGTTCTAGCCTTAGCATCTTCAAATTCTTTCTTTAACCAATCAACTACCATTCGATGAATAACTTCAGATTTAGTACTTTTCTCTTTCAATAATTCAATTTTCTTTTGTAATTTTCTTATTTCAACAGCTTGAAGTTCTCTTAAAATTTCATCAACACCATCTAATCTTTTTCTCCAATACTTAGTCATTTCTTGTTCTTTTCCATATTTTCCTAAATAATATCTTTGTTCTTCATATGTTCTAACTACTTCAACATCTCTTTTATTTTGTTCCATTCCTTCTTCTGCACTTAAAATTTTAGCTTTAATATAAATTCTTCTAGTATTAATTTCTTTATGATAAACGTCACACCATTTATTAAAGAATTTTTCTCCAAGTCCAGCAAAAAGTCTCATAATTTTAACATCATTCTCACAATCACTAATTGGTTCAATAGGTGCTGAAATTGTTCCATTTTTCTTTTCAAGGTCTTTTAGTACTGCAATTTCTTTGTCTTGAACTAATTTATTTTCAGTAATATTTCGGCTACATTCACGTTCCATTTGTAATAAATCATCATTTGCTTGTGCAATAATACTTTCAACACCTTTCATCATTAATTTTTTAATTTCATTTCTTCTTTGTTGAAGAAGGTCTTCAGTTTGAATAACTAATGTTTGTGCTGAAAGAATAGTCCTTTCTACTCCATTTAACTTTTCAAAAGAAATACTTTGGTCATTAAGTTCTTCTAATCCTTTTAATGCAATAAATTCATTTTGAATTTCAGCTTCATTTGTAATAAAATCTTCATCAATACTACTAATAGAATTAATAATACTTTTTTCACTTCTTAAATAATTAAAAATGACTTTAAAATAAAGTTGAACAAGACTACGGATTCTTTGATTTTTTTCATTCATAAGTGATTTTTTAGCGAAGTTTAATTCTTTAATATAAGTACTATTCAATTTTTTACGTTCAATAAATTTATTTTCAATTTGACTTAATAAGTCAGTTGCTTCTTTAATTTCTTTAATAAGTTTACTTCCATTTTGTAAATATTCAACAAAATTAGTCTTTTCATTAATAAGAGTTTGATTTCTTATTTTCCATTGTTCAAGAATATATTCTTCATTTTTACCAATAACTTTTGTTTGGCTTTCAACCCATTCTAATTTTTCTTTTGAAATTTTTAATTGTGGGAATAACACTTTTAATTTTTCCATTTCTTCTGTTTTTTTTATTTTTGCTGTTTTCATTTCTTCTTCTGCACTTTTTAACAATTCTTCATATTTATTTACTAAAATGACATCATTACCTTTTTTTGCATTTATTATTTCTTCTTTATATAACTTTACTTCAACTTTCTTTTGTTTATATTCTTCTTCATCTTTATTCATTTTATTTCTAACTTCTTTTATTTGACTGTTTACAATAGAAATAAATTTTTGTAGCAATGCAGTGTATTTACCGTAATGATAAATTAATTCATCATCCATTTTAGTGAATTTACTTATACTACTATTCTCTTTTTTCCAATCACTTATTAAATATTCACTTGTCTGACTGTTGTAAACTTTTTCAAACAATTCAATAACACTGAGAGTTCTTGGAACATATGCAAAAGCTACACACAAAAATAACAAATTTATGATAATTTTCATCGACAATATAATTTTCAAGATCTTTCTTTCTTTTTTTTAATATTTTTTTTTACTTTTTCTGTTTTTTTTTTGACTTTTATTTATTTTCCTTATTATTTTATTAAAATGAAAATGAATGATAAATGAATAATGAAAATCAGAAACAACACACAAACAGTAATATAAAATCAAATAATGAAATATCAAATAATAATTGGTTATGATGTTGTGTTTTCTGAGGTATTATTCATTCAATATTAATTATTTGATATTTATTAATATTTATTATAAATAATGTTTAATGAAGTAATGATTATGATTGTAGTATTATTTATTATGGTATATTATTAGTTATTTATTATTATGAAGTATTATTCATTTGTCAACATTCAATTATATTTGATAATGTTAATTTTGAATTGAATATATTATGTGCATTATCAATCAAAAGTGATTGTTGATATTCAATGAAATGATTCATAGTCATAGAGTTAATGATTTGTTTGTCATGAAACATGAAAATAAAGAATTGTGAATTTTACTACATATCAAAACCAAAATAACAATCAAACAACAACTTAAATGAAGAATATTTAAGTGACAAATGTTGAAAAGATATTAAACTAATATGAATAAAATATATTGAAAAAACTGATATATTCAATTCTCAATAAGATGAAAATACAAACTATTCAATAAGTTATAATTGGTTCATTTTAATGATAATTTATTAATAAAACATTTAAAGAGAAAAACGAAATGTTCAATTACCAGCTTTTAGAACAAAAACCTAATGAAGTACAAAGTTGATTTCCAGAAGCAGGTAAGTCATGTGATAAGTCGATGAGTTGGATTTTCATGAAACTTTCTAAACAAAGTCTTTCATTAGGAGAGGATTGACAATAATTAAGGACGTTTTTAGTAAGAAGATGTTGAGAAGTGCCTTTAGCGATTTTGTCAATGACGTAATTTCCAATATTTTCACAGATAGAACAGATTTGCTGAAGAGAGTTTGTGTCATTGACAATTGAGATTAAATATTTACCGTTTGGATTTCTTAATTCTTTGATGAGATTATTGAGAATGACATTTATGTGTTTATTTTGATGACGCCTAATTTTAATATCATTGGTAAGGGATTTAATGTTGTTGTCATAGAATTTACGGGATATTTGACAAACAATTGTATCTCTCATCTTAAGAAGCTTTTTTATTCTAATTTGATCAATCTTTAGTTTTCTTTCAAAAAGATGATTCATTTCAAGTAAATACTTTTCAATATTTCTTGCTTTTTTAATGGCTTCTTCACCAACTAATTTTAATTTTTCTTCTTCTTTCTTAATCTTTTTGTAAATTTTATCTCTTCTCATATAAAATTTAGGACTTAATTTTCCTTTACATTTAGATACTCTTTTACTAAGATTTTGTGCTCTTCGTTTATATTTAATTAAGACA